TCCCTATAGTATCTCCAGTATGTGATCACTAGAAAAATGCATCTTTAAAGTAGGTCTCAGAAGACACTTGTTAAATAACTTAGTAATGAATGAATAAAGGAGTCATATAACCAGTGCACTTATATAAGCTTAGCTTGCAGGCACATAGAATATATCCACAATATATTCAAAAATGACGAGTGTACTCTCTTTTCCTTTCTTTCTCCTTCACTTCCTCCGTGCTTTCCTTCTTTTCTTCATTCCACAAAAGAATTATGGACCATCTCTGTTTTGTGTCAGGTATTATGATTGACAGTAGAGATATGTCAGATATGGCCCCTACTCTCATGAAGTCTATAATCTAAAAGATGAAATAGGCAAGCATATCAAAGGTAAAAAGGTCCTTGTGGTTACAGGTGTGTCAAAGGTTCTATGGTCATTGCATTAAAACTAGAGTAGGGTCGGCTGAGGCTGTGTTGCTGATCTGACCTTGAAGGTCGAGTAGGAGTCAACTAAGAAAGGGTGGCATGACCCAGGACGAGGGTGAATGGATATGTCAGATAAGGCAAACTTGCTACTGGACATAAAAGGGTGATCTGCCTAGAATTTTTTATCCCTGAACAATCACCATCAATATTATATAAAACATGTTCCATAAAAATTCTAAAATCTACAGATTATCTGACAAACTTCATATTACTCTTAGGTAAATGCTGAAAATATCAATTTCATAATAAAATAAAAGCTGATTGCATTTCTTTGATGTCTATTAAGGCCAGTAGAAATGATTTATTGATTATTTTAAAGAAAAATATATTTTAAAATGCCATTTTTTTGACAAGAATCTTGTTAATAGATTTGGAGTTCTCATATACCCCAAATGCACTTTTAGTTACAAAATGTTAACAGTTTGGAGAAAAATCAATAGAATAATCAGAAAACTCATGCAAGGATGAATAAAGAGTAAAACAATCCTATGTCTTGCATTCAGTGTTATTTTTTTTTTAATGTTCAGAGTTTGAAACTTGCTGCTTGTCACCTGAATCCAGATGTGCCTTAATATTTTGCTTTTGGTTTTTAATGCTCTAAGAATTGGAGTTAACACAGATAAATGAAGAATACACTCAGAACACAGCTAGGTAATCCAGAAACACAGAGCAAGGTATTGCATGCAAAGAATTTCCACAGGGTCACTGTAAGGATAAGTGCTGCATTCTGTGTGGACAGCATATAGAAGTCCACTTGGGATTGGATGCCCAGAGAAAGTTTGTTCCTTTCCATAAACTTTTCTTGTGTCATAAAAGTTATCTGCATCTTGACTTTCTCTTTTTGATTTGGTTATTAGGAACATCCTAGCCCTAGCCTTTGACCCAAGATTTTTATTTTCCATTTTCATCTGCCACCTCTTTGTTTCACTAGACTGTTTGAAAGAAATAGCCTAGAACATTCCATGACTATCACTGAAACTACTTAAAAATCCTCTATGGAAATAGAAGGGTTAACAGCATTGAAGGTATCAGAGAACTTTGGTTTATCACAGGAATGTAATAATTAAATGTGACTCTGGCTTTCCAAGTCCTCACTATAGAAGGACAGTTACCAAGGTAACTAGACCCAAACTTTGTCCTAGTATAGTGGAGGGCTTATATATTTCTCCTAATTCCTATCTCTCACTGGCTAGAGCAGATAAGTACTTCAGAGGAATTTGTGTGTTGTGATCTTAACAATCATCATTTAAATATTATTATTAAATAACATTACATATACTGCATACTATTAAGCATGTGTGTTATATTTACATAATAATCCATAGTTAACGTGTCATTGCAAAGTGTTGTGACACCTGTCATCGATTTGGTTATAGAAGCAGTGAAACAATACCACCGCTTGAGGACCTGAGAATACTTTTCTATATGCCTGTTCTCAGTTTCACCTACTGACTGGAGCTTATTACTGGGAACTGATTACTAGAAAGCTGAGGTCATCAGGAGTCACTGCCTCTCAGCAGAGGAAACATTTCACTAAAGCAAGATGAGAGGGGCTAAATACACTGGCTTAGAAAAACAAAAGCTTGTGTTCCAGCTTCCTATAAATTATATTTTTTAGAATAATAAACAGAAGATATTTTAATTGAATGTCTAGGCTCCACGCATGCCAACAGGAATTCTAGATGAACCTAACAAAATGGCCGCCCGAGAGGAGCAGTGGAGGATGATCTAGGACAGGAGCCCTTTCCCCACTGTCCAATGTAGTTTCTCTGAGACTTGGTTTCTTCTTCAGAAAAGGAGAAGGCTGAGCCTAGAGATTTTCAATGGGTCTCTAAGCTTGAAAAGAGCATAAATTCTTTGTCAAAATCCAGCTAAGTTGAGGGCCTAATAGTGTCTTTCAGGCATGTAGTGGTGTGTGATGCAAACAGTCTTATTTTAACACAGAGCATTTGAAATGTGAGATTTTTTCTTTTACTACCAACTAACCTTGAATTTGAATACATACGGGTGCTCAGTGAAAGGCTCTTTGTGCAGGATGGTGCCCCTCTGACCTGCTGTCAAGTAGACATGCACTTGACTGGCTTCTCTTTCCTCTTCAGGAAGGGAGGAAAGGTCTGCGTGAACTCATCCACTCTTTCCCGCTCGATCTCTTATGAATTGTGAAGTAAATGCCTGGGCCTCTAGGTCTTCAGTGAGCAAAGCTCCTTCAGGGCGATTGATTACCTGATGGTTAAGATACAGCCTTGCAAATGAGAGCCACTGTGGTCCCATCCCAGTCTTACTGATCATTCGTTGTGTGACCTTGGGAAAATTACTTAACTTTTGTCCCTCAAATTTTTCAGATCTAAAATTAGTTAGCAGTGGACCCTACCTCTTAGAGTTAAAAGCATAGAGCAGTCTGAACAAATGTTTGTTACACAGTAAACACCCAGGAATGGTCTGTCTTGATTTATTACTGTGTATATGATGAGTGAACCTATGGTGTGGATCTTTTCCTAACCCTACTGCAATCATCTGAAAGGAGAATTAGAGGGAAAGTGCAAGGGGCTCCTGAAAACCCCTCTGGGAGGCTGGAAAGGAATTTAAACTATTCCTCCAAAATTGATGTTTATGCTACTCTTACAGCTCTATGGGGAATAAAATTACCTGATTCAATGTCTGACAGCTTCTCTCAGCTGGGAAGTTATTCCTTCTGTGTGCCTTAATTACCTATTGCTGCAGTTCCAATTTGGGGTGAGGGAAAGGGTAGCCGGTGTGACTCTGAGATAGGGTCCTGCTTAAAACTCCCGCGTTCGACATACGCCTGCATGAATCTGTGCAGAGCTTGGTTATGCACTGTTGATATTCTGTGTCTTCTAGGCCAGGTTCCCTGGGAGCCAAGGACTCTATGTATATTGTCAGGGCCACCAGGATGGATGGAAGAGGAGATGGCACTTAGCTAGGAGGACCTAGAATACTTGGCTTTCTACTCTCACCCAGTGCATATTTACTTTCTCTATATTTTCATGAGAGATTGCACCCAGAGAAAAAAATTCTCCAGATAAAAGAAAAAATAGAAATCAGGAGGTTGTGTATGTCTCCAGCAGGCACATGATGTGGCCTGTCACTTGGCAGCTCACTGTGTTGCTTCATTTCTCTGCTCTTCCGTGCTACCTGTTTGAACGTGACTGTGTGTGTGTGTGTGTGTGTGTGTGTGTGTGTGTTCCTTTGCTCACAGAGATAGTGGAGGGAGAGTAAATGGGAAGATTTACTGGGAGAGGAACTTTATAAATCCAAAGTTTAATTATTATGAGACTGGAAAAAGCCCCTTTGATGTGTTTGATGGAATACTCTTGACCCATCATTGAGTTGGTGGGAGTCCTGGGAATTAACAGCTTGGACAATAGGCTGGCAGTGATTAAAGCCCAAGGTTGAGAGGAGAACCATTTGGCACACTCCAGCCTAATGAGATAGGCTTGAAGGGATATTGACCAAAATAAAGACAGTGAATACAGGTTGTACACAGGAAGATTTATGGCTGCCTAGTGCTGTGCAGATATGGGCTTGAAGGTGCTCCCTCCAAGCCTCTGCCTTGGGTGGATGTCAGAGTAAGGTGTTCAGTGTCTGTGAACTGCTTTCTCACCTCTGACAGCCAGCTGAGTGGTGTCTTGACTTGTACAGAATGGCCTCTGAGCCAGTGGCCTTTGAGCACTGGAGGGCTCAGAAGGCAAACTCCTCTGCCAGCCTGACCCCAGACACCGTGAGTCTAAGACCCTTCCCTCCAGTGGTAACAAGACCAAGGGGCTCTCAGGAAAAGTTGTGGCCCAAAAAGTCATGTTCACATGGCATGATTTCTCCCCACACTTGGTGGGTGGTAAGTTCCTGATGTCTGTAAATCTCTCTTTGGATTTGTGGCTCGATCCCCTGCTGGGGCGGTTACTTAGTTGGAGACATTGAAATTTAAGCTGAGAACAGTCTTGATTGTGTGTGATGTGCTAGGCACTTTACATAGTTAACTAATATGATTCCTACAACCACCCTAGGCAGTTGAGTGGTGTCTTCTCCATTATACAGGTGAGAAATCTGAGGTTTAGTATTTATTGGAATCATTGATCTGTGGATCCAGAGTTAGAATCTACCTCAGGTCGATTGTTCAGTGTTACACAACGATAAAACTAGATGCCACCTGACAGCTTTAACAATGGCCCCAAACAGCTTTTCACAGAGCAGATTTTTGCTTTGCTTTTGCAGCTGAAACCCCCCTACCTCTGTCTCATACAGCTACTCTCCTTTCAAATTGTCTGCTAAGCCAGAAGCAACTGGATCCCTTAAAATGATGCACTGGCCATGCCAGCTCCATTTTTCTCTCATGTTAAACACTGGTCACAGAAGATTGTCCCTTTGCTGCTGAGTGATGTATGCTATAAATCCTTAGTGCACCTCAATGGGTGGATTAACAAATGAGTGATGAATGGTGGTATCAGAAGAGGCAAGGACTCTTTTTGGGAACAGACAACAATCTTCCTGTGTCCATGTGCTGTCCTCTCTTCGCAGGGTGGCATGATTGCTCTGTTGCTGTCCATCTTGTGCCTGGTAATGATCCTGTACACACGCCGGCGGTGGTGCAAACGCCGCCGGGTCCCCCAGCCCCAGAAGAGTGCCAGTGCCGAGGCAGCCAATGAGATTCACTACATTCCTTCTGTGCTGATCGGTGGCCATGGGCGAGAGAGTCTGCGCAATGCTCGTGTGCAGGGCCACAACTCTAGTGGGACCCTGAGCATCCGGGAGACACCCATCCTGGATGGGTATGAATATGACATCACAGACCTGCGCCACCATCTACAGAGGGAGTGCATGAACGGAGGCGAAGATTTTGCCAGCCAGGTCACTCGAACCCTGGACTCCTTGCAGGGCTGCAATGAGAAGGCAGGGATGGACCTCACGCCAGGTGGGATGGGAGAAGGGCAGGCTGCTTAGCCCTTTGTCTCAGGGAATGGGGGGAGGAATCATGGGATGTGCCAGTGCCCTTCCCTAGGTAGGCAAACCTGTTTCCTGGAACAACTGAGCTGCTTTCTAATCTGGAAAATCAGAACAGTATAAAATCATAGCCTTCTACTTCCATCATGCATTGGAAGCAGGGATCCCTTTACATCTACCAGAGGATCAAGTTACACCCTGTGTAGTATGTAATGAGCAACCCTCTGGGAAGTAAGGGGATAGTAAGAAAAATCAACATGGGTTGACTTTTTTTTTGTCTATCATAGCTTTGCATAGGCAATTTAATTCTCCAATGAAGTGGAGGGGACTATGTGATCAGTTTTTTTCACTGACTCCTAAGACTTGGGCCTGGGGTGTTTTAGTTGTGTTATCTTGTCTTTGCCTCTGTGGCTCTACAAAGGATGTATTTTAAAAAAATACAATTAAAGTATCAGACCTCAGATGCTTTGTGTATCTGTGGAGACACTGTGGGGAAGAGACTTGGACTTAATCCATCAGAACAAATTCAAGGCAAAAAAAAATGCAGAGAGAAGGACTGTACTCTTCTTTTATAGTAGCCCACCTGTCTCTCTTCAAATTCCATGTGCTGTGAATAAGCACTTCCCCATAGATAAATCCTTGATAGTGATCCTTCAAGACACTGCCCAATTATCTTTGAGGAAAAGGTATTTGAAATCACATGCTGTTCAAAATGCATAGACTTTTGGTGGGGCATGAAAGAGTGAAATAACATAGAGGGAAATGGAAATTCTGTTATCTGGAAGAGCTCCTATATGAATGCTCATTTTAATAACACTGAAGTCCTGATAAGTCCATGCCTGAGAATGGAGAGGCCATGTCTTCAACATCGCTCATATGCCCCACGGCTCCTGGCACAGTGCTGAGGCCACCAAATAGGCGTATGGAACACAGGGGTCACAAACTTAGATGATCCTAGGGAGTAGAGGCCGGAGGTCAGACAGTGGGGAATAGTGTTGACCAGATGAAGAGAGAGAGGGCATGTTCTGCCTGAATGCACACAAATTCAGATTCTTTCAAATCTGCTGACCAAAAAAAAAAAAAAGAAAGGAAAGAAATCTACAGTCTGTGTCTAGCCAAAGGGTGGCAAGTAACTTTATTGATAAAGAATTAGTTGAATTGGATTTTCAGTTGTAATCCTCTTACTTCACTCCTCCCATAACTTTGTAGACCCTAGAAATCAGAGGAGTATTTTAGTTTCTGCCAATCTCTCACGTTACAGGCTCCTTACACCTACTTGGTTCATGCAGATTTCCTTGCTCTCCCTTTCTTTTGGCCTTTTCTCTTAAAGTTTTTGTCTCAACTCCTCCTTTTGCAGGAAGTGACAATGCCAAGCTCTCACTGATGAACAAATATAAAGATAACATCATTGCCACCAGTCCTGTGGACTCCAACCACCAGCAGGCCACTCTGCTCTCCCACACCTCCAGTAGCCAGAGAAAGCGAATCAACAACAAAGCCAGAGGTACCCATGTCTGATGTTAGGGCTGACGGTTGGATTCCTGAACATGGGCAGAGGCAGGGCCATTAATGCCAGTCACCCACACACTTACGACAGCTTAGGAGGTGTGTCCTGCCAGGTCTTCTGGACACCAGCTAAATGCTACTTACTGAAAAATGTAAAAGCATAAACTTTCTGATCAAGTACTTTTACCAACAAGAATGTATGCTTAGGAAGTAATTGGACAAGGGTACAAAGATGTGTGTAAAAGGCACTTTATCACAGCACTGTTGAAATAAGCAAAGAATTGAAAGTAGTTTAAACATCCATCAGCAGGGCACTGGTTCACTACCGTGTACAACTCTGTACTATCTGGTGGTTTACTACAGTCCTTTAAAATGGTAATAGAGGGCCAAGGATTTAGCTCAGTGGTTCTGCCACCTGCCTCGCAAGCACAAGGTCCCGAGTTCAATTCCCGGTACCAAAAAAAAAAAAGTAAAATGGTAATAGAGATCTATGTTTATGTATTTTAAATGTTAACAAAGTTCATTTCTGATTTAGAATATTTAGAGGAATCAGAGTTGTTCTTTTATACATTTTGGTATATTTTCTCTATTCTCTCATTTACATTAAATATATATTAATTGCAGAACCAGAAAAAAAAAAAACACACAAAAGTATGGTATTCTTTGCTCCCATGACATAATTCCATTCTCTATTGACCAGAATCCTAATCTGTAATGGAAATTTCCCTTTCTTCCTTCTCCCACACTGGGGTGCTTTCTGGCAGGTGGGTGCCAGACATGACCCTAGTCAGGGGATGCTGGGCTGGATGGGGAGTGGGGCTCTAGTGATTGCTGTCACAAGGTCTGCGTCTCCAAAAAATCTGCTTATCAGGAAGCCCCCTTCCCCCTGGCCACTTCTCTCAGATTGATAGGCAACCCCTTCATTATTATAGGTTTTTCTGCTGAATTTACCCAGTGATTTAATGTCACGAAGACACTACTGAAAGTGTCCTCTCTGGCGTGCTTCTTTTCATTTCAGCTGGTTCAGCCTTCTTGAACCCTGAAGGGGACTCTGGCACAGAGGCAGAAAATGACCCTCAGCTGACCTTTTACACGGATCCCTCTCGCAGCCGGAGGCGCAGCCGAGGTAGGAGGGGCAGAGGGTCAGGAGGATGGGCTGGTGTGAGGCAGGGAAGGCAGGGGAGGCAGGGCCTACAGCGGAGCCAGTCAAAGCAGGATGAATGCTTGGACCACGATTGGTGTTTCCTCTTAAGGAAGAAAGAAGAACCTAGAGTGGAAAATTTCAGAGAATCATCTCTCCCAGATAATGGCACTCTCAAACAAGTTTTCAAGTTGTTTGAAAGGCTATTTCTTGGTCAGAAGACTCTCAATTCCTTCTGGAAGCCTCAGGAGTTACATTTCTGCTGCTTAGACACAGAACATCAAGTTGATAACGTGTGTTGTATGTGAAAAACTGGGTACTATTTGTATCCCTTCCTTACTCACTGACCCTGGCTTTGGAATTGAGCTTGGCAGGGACATGGGTTAGTTGAAGAATGCTGTAAGCCCCTTCCCAGCATGATGTCAGGACCTAGGCCTGCAGCGCCCCCCCCCCCTTTCTGGCAGAGTTCAGAGAGCTAGTTCATGCTTAGCTGCACTGAGGAAGCTGTCCTTCCTTGCAGCAACTACAGGGGCCACTCCATGGTGATGTTAGTGGCTCACAGATGGCAGATGTAGCTGCCATTGTTTATGACTTTACTGGTGTCACCATCACCTCTCCAAGTTCTGTGTTCAGACACCAGAACTCCTCTTGCATCTCGGTTCCCTCCCTCGTGTATCAAGTGGGTTATTGATAAGGTTATTGCCTTGTGTATAGGTTTACTGTCAGGATTAAATTATATTAAGGTACATGGGGTTTTGGGGGAGACTGCCAAAGCACTGTGCAGTCCCTACTGCTGCAGTTAGATCTCCATACTACAGCCCCAGGTTTCCAAAGAGCACATCTTCAGTAGTTTCAGACAGGGTGCCCTGGAGGTGCAGGGTGGGGGGGGGATTTGAATGACAGCCCCTGTGCTACCCTCAGCAACACATTCCCCACCCAGTTCTTAACCAGTACCCCAAAGGAAACGCTTCTTGGCTCTGTCCTACATCCACTTGAGTTCTTGTCATACAGACGTTGTTCTTCCCAGAGACTGGAGGAAAGCTTTCTGATTCTAATTCCAGGCTCTGTAGACTTCACTGTCATCAGCATTAAAGGACTTTTCACCATTTTCCCGAAGAGATTGGTGGGGCTTGGGACAGCCTCGCTCCTGAAGCCTCATTTTCCCTGAGGTGAGAAGGTGGACGAAGGTGTCCCCCTCCCTTGATCCTCACTACATCAGCAGATACTCAACCCAGTCCCATCCAACCTAGGCCCATCCAAGCAGGGTGTGTCCTGCTTTCATACAATCTTGTTTAAGGAAATCCATGGTAATGAATTAGAATGAGTCTCTTTACAGCATAAAACTGTTTCTTGGAATATCAAGCTCTCCAAGTACATCACCTGCTTACTGTTATTAACTAGATGGGAAGCCTTTTAGAGGTGGAACATGCCTAATTGTTTCTTCAAAGAGCCTAGGAAAGGATTTCTCCTATTATGGATGCTTGTGTTTGTTTAATTGGACTGGATACATCAATCAGGCCAGCAAAAACATTTTAAACTTCCTTGCTGTAGTTCAGGCTTCATGATAGTGGTACAAACATAAAAACATGCCACAATGATAAGACTTCATTTAGTGATATAAATAAAGTAAAACTAGCACTCATAAGAGAGGACAGTGAATTCTCCCTAGCAACAATAGGAATCAACAAAGAAGAAAATAATTAGAATGTGTTATATACATTGTAAAGGATTTCATGAAAGAGGAGTCTAGGGTAAGAATGTTCAATAGAGGAAAATAGCACATACAAAGCCTTCAAGGCATGAAAGAACATAACATTTTCGTAGAAGTGAAAGTAGTTCAGTACAAGAGCCTTAGCCCAAGTATAAACAGAAGCACAGTGGGATGGTAGGGATGAGGCCATGGAATTGTATGCATGATGTGTTGTGAATTTTGCACCGGCTTCCATGGGCAAAGGGGCAGCCACTGGAGTTTTGAAGCCAGGTAGAGATGCTGGTTTATGAGTTAATGATGCACACAGAAGAGAAAGACAAGAATATCAGTAGCAGGTGATTGTAGTCACATGATAGCAATGGCAATTGTCTGTAAGCAGGCAGGGCACTGTGTGATAAGATCTGTGACAGCAGGTGCACAAGGACCAGAAGAACAAGGAATGAGTGAGAATCTGTTCTTGAAGGTTTCAAGGAAGTGTTTACAGGGAGATGTTGTTTGAGCAGAGACTTGAAGAGTAGGTGTACATGGGATGACAAGGTGACAAAATGGCCTTCTGTGGAGGAGGAAATAATATGTGCAAAGTCACTGAGACATAAACAATGACGATCGAGTTAGGGAGCAGCAAATCATTCCTAGAATGAAGCTTAAGGTACAAGTTTGTGAGTTGCTTAGAAAGTAAAGCAACAGAAGCCAGAAAGTACATGGCCTTGACTAGAAGGGGCTTGGGCTTGCACTTCAGGCAGTGTCATTGGGAGCTTTTAAAGAGCACTGCTCTGGTCAGTTCTGCTTTGCAAAGCACCCCTCTGGGGCAGTGTGAAGGTCAGGTGACAGCAGCTGAGGTTGCTGCAGGGAGACAAGTGGATGGCTACTGCTGCAGCCCCAGAATAAGATGATGAGGGTAGGCAGGGATGGAGAGAATGGATGTGAGTGAAATTATGGACACAAAATGAAAAAAAGATTTAATGGCATTGGTGGTAGAAGGGTGTGGCTTGTGAACAAGAGGGAAGTGTTAGATGTGATGGAGGACTTTGATTTGAGAAGCCAATTATAGACAGCAGAGCCATTTTCTGGACACTAGAAATAGGAAAGGGAGTTGGGTTTGAGAGAAGAGGGTGAGTCCAGTTTTGGAAGGACTATATTTTAGTGCCCAACAGATGTGTTGGTGATGGATGTGCTGCTGAGGCAGGACTGGGCTGGAGATCTGTAAGTGTGTGGGAATAGACTCCAGCTGGAATAGAATAACTTCAAGTGGTAAAGTCAGAGGAAATTGAGGCTACCTGCTGCCCTTGAGCTGCACAGAACATGAGAACACCCTAAAAGACCTTCACATTTTACTGCCTCGCTTTCTTACTTTCCCACATCTATTCTGCCTTCATAAGAAAGGCCCTTCTGCTTACTAGCATTTTATCCTTTCCACCAAACCCCCATAACAATAACCCCCAAACAAAACCAAACCCAAGCCCTTCCACTCCTACCCCGTCTTCACCTACCTGAGAGTGTTTCTTTTCCCCAGCAATGATCCTTCTCTCCCGTGATTACAGGACAGTGGGGAGCTTTCTGGTCCGACATCATCCGCTCATCCAGGGTGGACTTCCCTGTTTTCTTCAGTCGAGGAGGCCCCACACAGCAAGGCAACCGGGAGAACTCTCCACCATAGAATAAACTCAAACTCTTCTGGTTCAGGAAGTCCCGCCTCAGCCCTGGTTGTCTCCCTGGGAGTGCAGCCCTCTATTAGGGCGCCTCTGTGGTCAGCGATGGAACTGCAGTGTGAGGCTAAAGCCTTTTTGCCCAGTTTAGCAAGCCAAGCAGAGGGAAAGATGCCTCTTTTATAACTTCTCCTGTGAACCTGTCCCAGGCAGGATGTAGATGATTTGCACTTGACTCACCCTTATTGACCCTGAGGACCACTGGTTGGCTAAATTCTCTCCTACTCCAACTGATGACATAATGTTTGTGAGAGTGAAGTTCACTGAGGTCATGCAACCAGAAACATTTCTTGTCATGTAGGTTAGGTTTGCCCAGCTACTTTGTTTGCCAGGCTAGACACCAAAAGGCCACGTTGGGCTTTCAATGCCAAGATTTTGACCTACATATCATGTTTTTTTCTCACTTTCAGTCGGTTCTCCCAGAAGTCCTGTGAATAAGACCACCTTGACTTTAATCAGCATTACCAGCTGTGTCATTGGCCTTGTGTGCTCCTCTCATGTCAGCTGTCCTCTCGTTGTCAAAATAACCCTGCATGTCCCCGAGCACCTGATCGCTGATGGTAAGCTCATTCTTCCACTACTGCATCCCCCTTCCCCCGAGAAGGTTTTCAGGTTGGGTGAAATATAGAGAAGCGCAGCGGTCACTGTTTCCTATCACTATAGTGTGGGGGGAAATAAACCCAAATAGGTAAGAGTTCAGAAAAGATTGGATTGCTCATATCTGAACTAGGAAAGCAGATTATAAAGAACTGAAGACATCACTTCTTTTTCTCCATACTCACTCCTTGTGTTTACAGTAAGCCCCTGTTTTTGTAGAGAAATGCAGAGCACACTGGCTACAGATAGGTACACACTAAGTTTCTCTCAGCCTTCAAGAAAGGAAAAGCTGAGTATTAGAAGTATTTAAGGATTAGCCATGCATTTTGGTTTGCTTTGCCCAGGTGAGAGCTTTCTAATTGCAGGAACTTGCTATCAGCCTAGAATTTGGAAGTAATACTTTACTTTCATCCAGGGGGACCCCCATACAATGAGAGAATAGTATAGGTTCTGAGAGTCCCTGAATCATTTAAACCCACTGCACCTAATTGACTTGTTAATGTCTGTTCTCTCGGCTGCTGTAAGGCTGGAAACAGGTGGGGACTGTTTGCAATGTGAGAGAGCCTGCTATTTCATGGCAAGGGAAGACAGGCAGCAGGTCCCCATCCCTTGGACGAGTGCCAGTGCCTGTGGCTGGGTCTGATGGAGCCATGCCACGGCCATCACAGAGCTTCTCTGTCCCTGGATCCCTTAGGAACACTCTGGCAAGATGGACTGGGTCACAGCAGTAGGGGATGACATGGCTGACAGGCCTAATGGCTCTGGCCTCACAGCAGTCCATGTGATGTCCACAACTCCATCTGCTGATTCCTTGCTCTGGTGCTAATGACAGGCTAGGACTGGGGGCAGTAATAATCTGGGACTGGGACTTACTCTGTCTTCGGTGGCTTGTGTGTGTTTATTGTATGTGCACCCACAGAACAGCTTCCTCTGTGTCGCCCTGCAGGGAGCCGCTTCATCCTGCTGGAGGGGAGCCAGCTGGATGCCAGTGACTGGCTGAACCCTGCCCAAGTGGTTCTCTTCTCTCAACAGAACTCCAGTGGGCCCTGGGCCATGGACCTCTGTGCCCGGCGGCTCTTGGACCCCTGTGAACACCAATGTGACCCCGAAACTGGTAGGCAGGAGCACCGGGCAGCGGGTAACTGTCAGAGAGATCATGCCTCTTACAGTGACCCCTTTGGAACTCAGACCATCTCTCCCAGCCCCACTGTCCCATTGTCATCTTAAACCTAGACCACGCAAGCTGCCAGCATGTGGTTGGGCCACAAGCATAAAAGGTGCACACATCTTCTGGAGGAAGCCTCGGCAGAACCCTAACTCGAGGCCCACTCCAGAAAGACCAGTCTAAAATGACCTTCACAGTCAATTGTCATCCATCCGATCTAGCTTCAATCTAGACATTTTATGATATAAAAATGAATGCATGTTTATTGTAGATATTCTATAAAATCGTATAGAAACAAATTATAGTCATCTATCTTTCTATCTCCTGGATAAATCAATTTTAAAATTTTTACATCTTCCTTTACAATCTCTCCTAAGTTTATGATTTTTAGAGGCTTCCTTGGAGCATAGTAAGTCTATTAGACTTTTCCTGTTTTTATTCACTCAATATTCCATTATAAGTTTTCCAAAATTATTAAATAATTCTCAGTACTATAATTTATTTTTAGAAGTACTAGGGATCAAACCAAGGCCCTTTCCATACTAGACAAGCACTCTACCTACATCCCCAACCTCAATAATATAACTTTCATGCCCATTTGGTATTCCATCATAGGCCTATAATATAGCTCACTTAACAGTCCTGTCTTATTTGACATTTAGAATGCTCTAAAATTTTAATTTTTGTAAATATCATTAAAATGAATATCATTACACATAAATGTGAGGCTCATGGCAAGTTATTTTTTTTTCAGATAAGACTTAGAGCAAGATAAAGATTACTGGGCAAAGAAAGGGTATAGACATGTTTAAGCCTATTGTACCATAAATGGGATCAAGCACCTCTTCCTGAAAGCCTGGATTCAGACCTAGCCTGAATGAGCTTTGCTGTGCTCCTAGAGCTCAAGCAAGCCTGAGAGCCCAGATCTGTGATTCCAGATTGCTTTGTACTCTCATTGTAGGGGTGCTTCATCTACAGTAGTCTTTACAAAGACCTGTTTCGAGTAGATTGAGTACCACAGATCAATCCTGCCTGCAGAAGGAGTATGACTCCTTAAAGCAAAGGAAAGAGATAAAATGATATTGGAGACCTCTAAGCAAAATGTTGCTGAAGTCAAGGAGCAACCCCTCAAGCTCTTCACATATCAGCCTCCACAACACACACACACACACACACACACACACACACACACACATGCACACACGCATACACACACTCTTTCTTCAGGCACTGAGAGGAGGTTTCTTAACCAGTGTTTTGAGTCTAAAATCTTTAGCCTTTACTTCTGTTGTAATCCATTACTACATCTCTTTAGGAAAGTATCAGGTAACTGTCACATCTAAAGTTCATGTTCTTAGGTTTTAAAGTTATTTTACGTGGGCCCATCAGAGAGATTCTAGGCCCCCATATGGAAGAGAAAGTACAGCATTTTAAACATCTGATGTCTAAGGCTGTGCTTACTTGCTGCTCCTCCCACGCTGTCAGGCAAACACCAAACCAAACAGATGGGCTGTGCACCATGCCCGAAAGCTAGTGTGCTCTGAAGAAATTAAAAAGAGATAATCTCAGAGGTGGGGCCTCTCTATGCAACTGAGCTACTCTCTGGTACCCTCATCCTCCAGCTGGTTTGGATTAAGATGATTTGGGACAATCATAGCTGTTAAACACACCTCTGAGAGAAGCATGGTCTGTAGAGAACCTTAGATGCTTCCATTTGGATTTTAAAGAACAGGAAGCAGCTACAGTTACATGTGGAAAGAAGGGATTGGTATTCTTCACTTGAAGAACTGCCTTCTTTCTTTACATCAACACTTGAATTCCTCTAGAAATTACATGACTTGCCCAAAGTCCCACAGCTACCTAAAGTGAGAGTCTATGTTTAATCTATTGTGAAATCAGAACAGAAGTGGGATTACAGAGGGTTCCTTAATTTCCCCAGACATGTCACAGCCAACATTTGTCACTCAAAAATTCTCAAGCAACTGCCACTACTGAGCATTACTGTATGAGGAAGCTGCTGGTCTATAGCAGAGCTTTCCCATCAACCCTTCAATCCCTTCCAGATGTCTCATTTCAGACACTTACTAAAAACTAAAAATAACCCTGGGAGGCCTATCCCCTGAAATGGTTCTCCAGGATCAGTGACAACTTAACCAACTTCCAACTGGAGAGCAATGTTAAAAGGAGACTAAAAATAAGGACTCAAGCCCCACACCAGAACTAAGATGCAACATCTTCATTTTCGGCAGCAGCTGAGAAACGATGCTGCAGAGACTTTTATTTTCATTAATTCTGGAATTGGAAAGCCCCCCCCCATCCCGCCCTTCTTCTTTCTGCACATGGAATGATGTGGTCATCCCACACGCTCATCAGTAAGAAACTTTATCGCCTCCCACACTCCATGCTAGAGCCTTTCTCTACAGAGCTGAGTGTGGGAATTGGCTTCAAGTCAAATCGACATTATTTTTGCAATCTTCCAGCTAGCTTACTTGGAAATGTCAAAGTGTTGGGACATGTGCTTTCCAAGCCGTGCTGAGGGATCTGCCCATATGGATTTAAAGAGCTGTGCAAGTGTACTTGTATACTATTTCACACACACACACACGCACACACACACACGAACACACAAACACAGATGCTCAGTCACTGCAAAGGAGCAGCCTCCAGTGCTTGGAGCTCTTCTCAGTCATTCTTCCTAAAACTGTCCCAAAACACCAAGTGTGGGAGACAGAAAGATCAGTTCCTAAAGATGTCCATATCCTAATGTGGAGAATCTCTGATTGTGTTATGTTGCCAGGGAAAGGAGGATGACAATTGCATGTGGAATAGAGATTGCCAAACAACTGTGTGTTAGGAAGATTATCCTGGATTATGTGGTTGCACCCCTGTAAGCCCAGTGGTTCTACAAAGTCAGAGAGGAAGGCAGAACAGGAACTCAGAGTGATGTGTTGTGAGAAGGACTCAACCAGCCACTGCAGGCTTTGCGGAGGGAGGAAAGGGAATCATCCAAGAAATACAGGCAGCCTCCAGAAGATGGAAAGGCAAGGAAACAGATATCCTCCCATCCTCCAGAAAAGACATCTTTACTTTAGTGCCCTTAAATCTCTGTCAGACTTCTGTTCTCCAGAATGTTAAGATAATAAATGATGTTGTTTTAAACCACTAAGTTTGTGTCAATATTTTACTGGTGATAGACAACGAATACACCAAGGAATTAGAGAAGACAAAGACAAAGCCTTGTAATGCTGCCTCTTTATATCCTCCCAACCCAGATCTAAAGATGTACTAGGATGCTGTGGAAGAACTGGAGCTGGACGAAACTTGCTGGTCTGTTTTCCATTCCAGCCACCCTCTACATTTGCATTCTAGCAACATGCTACCCGGGAAGGATGGAATGTATCTACAGCTCTTAGTCCAATGCCTGGAATATAATAGGCACTAGAAAATGATTTACAATCATGAAGGAGCCACAGATCTTCTAATGAATGTGGGCATGCCTGAGAAATGATAAGCATGTACCCCAATGTTCATCTGCCATTTTCAATCTTCCGCTGAGCACTATGACCCTCTTCCAGCAGATCTCAACCTATGACAAGTTGTGACCCTGGCATTTGATTGTTTGGTGACTCAGAATGCATGTGAATGAGTTGTCACCTGTTGACGACTTCAAAAAACATATTGTGGTCCATTTCCCCCACTACACTGTTGGGTCAGGGAAACCAGTGGGAAATGTCTAGAAAAATGGTTTTCAGTAAAAATAAGGATAGGTAATGTTTATAGAGAGTTCACTATATATCAAGCACTGTACTTTACTTAAGTTATGTAATAGAAGCTTCAGAAGAATGCTATGAAATAGATGGTATTTTTAATCCACTTTATAGAGGTGTGAACTAATTGGTCCAAGATCACTTGCCTAGTTGATAGCCTCCCTGGATGGTAAAGTCAGGCTGCCTCACACTGGAACTCACACTTCTGATCCTTTTTCAACCCTTCTCCCACTTCTCACCCTTCCAGAAGGAGCCGGGCAGAAGGCTTAAAATTGTTGCCCTCCTGAGTGGCCACAGAGAGCCGCAACCCTCTAATGAAGGCCTTCATTAACTGCATTGACATTCTCTCTCAGATCCCCCCAGTTTCGCCTTCCTCTTTTTCTTGTCAAGGTGCACAGACCTTATAGCACTGAGGGTGTATGGCTCGGTGCACCCCTGGACCCATCTGGAGGATGACTCTGCATTTTCTCAGGGTTATTTTTTTAGCAGTATGTTTGATTGTTTTTGTGTTTTGTTTCTGGATGGAAACACAGACAACCTGGTTTCAGTGATGTTTCTCTCCACTCCTTTCCTGGCCTTTGTTTGGCCATATGGGCAGCGTAGACTCTTCACAAAGCTGCTTAATTTCATATCCTCATCAGTTCTGACCATAGACCCTCATTGCCCTTTTTAAGGTATAGATCATTTATGAGTCTGTGAGGAGCACAGAATTCCAAGCTATCTCCATTTTTATTCTCTTTCCAAGATGTTCACTGAAATCTCTCCTGTCCCAGGTCTTTCCATAGTCCAGATCCAAACATGTTCTTCAAGTGTATAAACTGGCTGATGAGTAATGGACCACATTTCCAGACCATCTGGCCTTCTACCCCTTTGCCTCCTCTGAGCTACTGCCCCTCTCTCTAACCTTCCATGGGTTTTTGAACCCAATTTGGCAGGAGAGCTCAGCCTCCATCTTACTCCTAAACCTGGATTCCACACTCATTCCAAGCTCACTTTTGTGGCTCCATTAGAGTACTGTCCTTCAGGATGAACTTTTGTAGGGTTCCTTCTGTCTCCCCTCCAGGAGCTGTGTGGGGCTAGTCGGCTTAGGCCTCCCTCTTGCCTGATGTCTCCATTAGCAATTAGACACTGCTTGAGTCTAATGTCTTATGAAGATTTCCTTTTTTAGAAGAAGCACACCCAATTCCATTTAATAAATTCAAACTGCTACCTGAACCAGAAGGATGAGCTGGGGCTTTTGGCCTCCATCTGTGTTTGCTTTGTGAAGAGCTGGTGGTGAGCTCAGTCATATGTGAGAAGCCCTGGCTTCCAGGCCTTTCTTTAATCCTTAGATGGGATTTGTGCCTCAGCCCTTCATCTAAAGAATGGGAAATGACCAAGGGCACTGCCCATCAAACATAGGCACTGTCTACCCTACAAGGCATTCGTTATCAGGGTGCCAAGCACAGAGCAAGTATAGCATGACCATTTCTTGAGGGCTTCTCTCCAACAGTATGGTTGACTGAGCGCCTCCTGCAGGGTGCACTCGGATCCTGGCCGGGAACTTCTCTGTGGCCATGACAAGTCTCTTCATTGGATTCCTACATACACCATCTCAGAGTCAGTGCCTCATGTGTTCACTGCCATCTGTCACAGCAGATGCGGAAACTGTAACACTTCTAGCTTAGGAGGGCATCCAACACCCTTGTGGGGTCTTTAAAATTCACAGCTAACAGTCGGAGCCTGTGCTTGCACAAAACCCCTCTTAAAGTCAAGATTTAGCAGTTGGTTGCCATAGCAACTTTGCTCATCAAGTCTGAACTCCTTTTGGTGTAGATGGCCAAACTGGTTTTGAGGAAGAATATAGAAGAGGAAAGTTTGGTGGTTTCTGGAAATGAGGATCTGTTGAGAGGAAAACTTTGGATATCCTCAAACTTTAGCTTGATATGTTTGAAAATTTCTGTTTCTTTGGCGTGGGACTAAATATGTCATTATATGGAACAAAGTTTTATCTGTTATCAGCAGTGTGTCCCCAAATGGTAATGAGTGATGGAAGCCTCATAAGGAGATAATGACCATAGAGGCAATTTGAAAAGGTAAATACACTATTCAAATAGGAGGTATTGCTGTTATCAGGAAAATAAGGCTCTGTTTGAACCCCGAGTTATTACTGCATTTATTTTTATATATTTTGTAGTAATCAGATGTCAAATATGGAAGGACTCTTTTTTTGTCGATCCTTTTGTTAATCCTTAATTCTAGACAAGGTGTCCAGGAAAGACTATTCTAAGAATCAGTGATGGATTTGACAGCTTCCTGAGATTGCTTCCTGTTTTGTAACATCATATTCATGCCTAGTTGTCCACAGGACAAGCAAGAGACTTTTTTTTTCTAATAGAGAAGTACATTTGAACCTTTTACTCATTAATTGACTTAGATATCTGCATCTTGGGCTGATGGTATTATCCCTAAAGTCAGGGCAAATACTGTAATTAATTAATTATTTTTCCATTACTTAGTATGTATGCAAATCCTATTCATCTACAGGAAACTAACTCTGATGCCTTCCAGTGTAGCTTGCAGTCCGGATCCCAGGCTTTCTTTGGGTTTGACAGGGCATGAAACCAGGCTCTGAGTATTTCCCTTCTTTTGCTCTCTCCTGCACTTCCTCTTTTTTCTTTCCTTTTGTCAGATGGACAGCTTTCACTGACAAGCCTTGCCGTCACCCACCTAATTTCGAGCTGTATTTTCCCATGTTTGATTCATAGTCCCTGACCATTTCTAGATACAGCCAAGCCTCACTGAAGCCAGTGAACTTGGACTGGTTGTGGATCAGTAGATTCTACAACTGGCCATGTCATGGAAGCAAGAATTTGCCAGATAGAACACAAAGGACCAATCTCTAATACTGTCTGTGGAGTCTGCATAAATTAAGAGGTTACTTATTTTACCTTGACCTGAGCAGACATGGGGGAAGAAAATGACCGTGATGTGGTAATGAGGCCTGATGGGCAGCAGTTTATAGGTCAGTCTTGGAATGAGTACTTGAGCTAACAGCCCAACAGAAACGCTTGTCTCAGACGATCCAGTCCCTTCTCCTTAACTGGGAGGCCATTTTACTTTATTTTCATTGGGTTTTGTCTTCTGAGAGAGGAAATAGCACTAAAAAATAGCACTATTCAGTCTATGTCCTTTTGAAGTGTCTCTTCCTTGGGACTGGGTAAAAAGACTGTACGCCTATTGTCCTTATTATTTTTCTTGTTTGTTGCTAATTTTAGTTTTTACTTTTTATTTTTATTAATACATGTTTGCAGTATGTAATGATTACATTCATCTTGTGGAGTTGGTGCATGTACATAACGCATCATAATTCTTTTGTGATCTCGTTCCCCTCACTGGTTATACATTAAACAACCAGACATTGAAAGAGCACAAACAAATGCTTCAGTGTAACTAGTTTCATTAGTTTGGAGAAAGGTAGCATTACATAAGAAATTATTAAAACAAGGAAGCAACAGCAATTTTCCTCAAGATTAGTACTAAACTGAGCAATGAATTTTAATCTTTTGCTTGTGAATCAGATGAATGCTATGGAATCCTGCTTTGGAAAAATGCAAACACACAGTTTTGCATGCAATACTAGAAGTTTCATGGACTTCTTGGTGTGCCAGTGGAGGAATTAATGATAATAAATAGAAATATCCTAAACAAGTACAGAACTATAGATGATCCCTTTGTTTGTCAGCTCCAAAGTAATTAGTCCATTTTTACTAGAAAGCTAAACCCGGATTTCCTATGAAAACACGATAGGTATATGTGGCCTCCTCTAAATGTGATAGTTGCTCTGTGGGCTAGTAGCATGGCATGATGGGAAAAGAGTCTGGAGTCAGACAGACACAGGTTCAGACATTAACTCTGCCACTTACAAGCTGTCAACAAGTCCTTCCATTTTCCCAAGTCTTAATGTTCCTCATCAGCCTAATATAGCTGATTATACCTACTTTTACAGATTCATAGAAATACTTGATGGAATAACTCACATATGTGGTCTTTAAGCATTTATCAGTCACTTACTCAGTGCCTTGAAGTATAATAGGCATTGAGAAAAGGAAGATGAAAAAGTTCCTTCTCTCAAAATATTGTTGAGCTTGGTGCTTATGGAGCATGCAGAACAGGTGTTTTTGTAGGCATTCGATTTCTCCATTAGAGAAAAGTGTCATGTACTGGAAATCTAGAGGCTGGCAAATGTCTTCATTCACGAGAGGCATATATGACGTAATGAGGTGTATTGTCTCGTTCATGCTCCTATTGGAATCTGACCATTCATGTTCATTTTCTTAAACACAGATGTGTTAATTCACTCATGTTTCTCTTTCTTCCTTCCTACCCTGCTTCTAAGGGGAATGCCTCTGCTATGAAGGTTACATGAAGGATCCAGTCCACAAGCACCTTTGCATTCGGAATGAATGGGGGACAAACCAGGGGTAAGTGAGGGGATGGCAAGTTTGCCTCTTCCCATGTCACTGCTTCCTTACACAGACATGACGTGGATCAACACTGCATAGGGGAATAGAGTTAATAGGTGGTTATATTCTGAACAGTGGCTGGGTAAAAATGTCACTGTGCATTTCCATATTTATGCCATCCCAATGACGTGCATATCGTCTCTCTCTCCATTTACAAGTCAAGAGATGATGCCTCTGACTCGCAGCCCTGCTGCCTCCAGCTGAGATCTGAAAATCAAGCTGTCCCTCTCCTCCTTTTCCTACCGCCACCAGCCACGCAGATTCCACGGGCAGAACTTAGCTGATGATTTTATTGGAGACACAGGAAGCCACACAGACTCCAGTGTAGCTCTCCCAGGGCTTGATGAGCTTTACTAGACTGACAGGAGCAGAAGCTTGTTTTCAGCAGCACTGTCAGCAAGGGTGAAGGCGGAGACTCGGGAGGGGCGCTCTGCCTGGAGTAGGAGTATTTTTGCCTGATCCCCAGTCACCATCTCTGTGAACTCTTTGCTTTCCCCCAAAGCATGCAGGTCTAGGACAAAATACTTACCTCTCTATTCCTTTTTTATCTTTAGTTTTTACATTTTTGAATGCTTTTACTGTGACAAAACATACATAAAATTTACTATTTTAAAGCTTACAGTTCAGTGACATTAATTACATTCACGTTACTGAGCAGCCATCACCACTATCAGTCTTATGTTGCTTTTTAAAGACAATTTTGTGCCTTGTTTTGAATGCCCGGAGTTTGCTTTCTGCATTAGGTGGGTGGTAGAGGAGAGCAGGAGGAGAAAAGGATCAATAAATGCTAAGTAATAATAACAATCTATGAAGTAGGAAAAACTAGGAGGAAATCAAGGCAAAAGACTTCTTAGAGTGATTACTTGGACTGCAAATTAGGTATCTGTTTGCAATCTGGGGAAAATAAAGGGGGGAAAATAAACCAGGATCATGTCAGACACTGCCATGCAGAACTCACATTCCTGGGGTCGATGATCAGCCCCTTCTATATGATTCTGATGAGGCCAAACCTAGAATATGGAATGTAGTTCTGGACTCTCCAAGCAATAAATATGGTGACAAATGGGCGAGCGTTTGGCGAAGAGCAATAAAAATGATTGAAGAGCTCCAGGGAGTGATTTATGATAAGGGGATAGAAGAACTCAACTCTGAGAACTTAGCCAGCTGATGACTAGTCAAGGTATGATAAATGCCCACAGACGTTAGAAGAGGGCAAGTGTTCTGAAACAGGTTGAAGTTGAGGGATAAGGACAAGAGAGAATGAAGTTAGGGAAAGGAAATCTGAGTCAGAGGTCAGAAAGCTTGAGAAAGTCAAATGGCCATAAAATTTTTCTGTTTGCTCAGTTTCAACTGAATTTGAGATAATATCATAGAGGCAGTCCGCAAAATTTAGAGGAAGGTATTCGTAGAAAGGTAAATACATGTAAGATGGCCTGTTGTTATTTAAAGATTGGTGAGAAGGGCAGAGCAAGCACATGGCTAATCCATGTCAGATGGGATATGAGTAAAGAGTCCCATTCACTATTTAAATTCTTCATATTTGCCTAACTACCTTAACCCCTGAAATATTTGCCTTGTTACTGTGGAGCCAGCCAGCATTTTAGCTTATATGATGGCTGAGCGCATGAGTTGACCATGATTATTTATTGAGTGAAATACTCCAAAGAGTGATAGATAACCACCTCTCTATCTTTATCTCTTAGCCAGAAAACAACTACAAAATATCATTTCACTTTTTCCCTGAATGATCCCGCCTGGCTGTTGCAGTGATTGGATTTGGACGTTAATTGCTCAAGCTTCCATGTCCCTAGCCTTGTAGACAGATTGTGCCAGGATGGGCCTGAGTTCACTTTGTAAGGGCACAGGCCTTTGTCATTCCCTCTGGCTGTGTGTGGAGACAGTCCTGGGATGTAGGCGAGAGTCTCCAGGGAAATGGTGGAGCCCCCCCCCCCCCCCCGTGTCACTTAGAACAAGACAGGCTTAAAGCACTGAGCTGCAGACTGACAAGAACATTAGCCCTAGGATAGAGACAAAGAGACCTAGTCTGTTATTTCCATCTCTAATTTCCATTATTCTATGATCATCACTGTCTAGGAGGTCTCATTTTGCACACTAATAAAATAATGGAGCAACTGTTAACAGGAAAAAACCCTCCAAAACAAAACGTGACTATCTTGAAGATAATGGGACCAAGACTGAGTTTATATGTTTACAAAACAGCACTGGACAAATGATCACATTTTTCTTCCTACAATGACAAGACAAGTGAAAGCAGAAGATGCCATGTATCTTGATTTAACTCATAGATCCGATGCCATGTTTCTTTAAATGATTCTCAGAAATTAATCGAAATTGGCTTGAATTTGAAGACTGTCACTAAAATTGAAGACTGACTGACAGATTGGCAAATAATATACATGTTGGGATATTATGAAAAAAATCAATGATAAGCTTTATTTTCCTGAAAATTTTATTTAGTATTCCAGAAAGGGAAGGGAAGGAGGCCACGTGGGTATTGATTTTTTTTTTCTCTTAGCATTCTAGTATTGTACACCTTAAGATAGCTGAACATTCTTTTGAGGTAGAACAACCAGATCCTAGGCTAGTAATAGTTAAAATACATTATTTTGTGAAGAATCGAGGTTGATGTACCAGTAGAAAAGTGGCAGTAAGCATTCTTGACTTTCAGACAAGGAAGAACATTGCTCAAGGACACTAACACAAAAAAGTTATAAACAGATGCTTCTATAAGACAGAGGAGTCACACCTGTAACTTTCTTCACTTTCTGCCTAGGTCCCTCATTTACCAGTCTTATGGGCATGTGTGTGTGTGTGTGTGTGTGTGTGTGTGTGTGTGTTGAGTCTGGTGTATATCTATATGGCGTGTATATACATACATACATGTAGATGTAGCATTTGTATGATCATGCTGTGTCTCTTGTGTATATGTGAGCCAGTTTGTAAGAATCCTCTGACCACTAAATTCCATCATTTATTCTCAGTCCCTCATGGTTTTAACAACTATTCATCCCATTACTATTCTGGTCTAGAGTATGCTAGGTTGCTATAGCTAAGAAGAGGTGGTCTCAGCTCTGAAAGAAATAGAAGCCTACACAGATAGATGGGAATACAAAAAAATAATTACCGTGAACTCTAAAGACTTACTAAAATAAAGGTGCAAACAAGGGTTTAGAAGATTACAGTTTAAGGAATAATTCATGTGAAATCAAAGAATCTGCAATAAGGCTTCACAAAGAAGTTGGATTTTGAACTGTTCTATTTGACAGATGACAAAAGTAATTCTAAGCAAAATAAACAGCATGTACAAAGATATGGAGACACAGAAGTTTAAAATAAGCAGCTCTGGGGCGAAGGATTTAGCTCAGTGGTTCTGCCGCCTGCCTCGCAATCACAAGGTCCTGAGTTCAATCCCTGGCACCAAAAAACAAAAGAAGAAGAAGAAGAAGAAGAAGAAGAAGAAGAAGAAGAAGAAGAAGAAGAAGAGGAAGAGGAAGAGGAAGAGGAAGAAGAAGAAGGTATAATGTTTTAAAAAGACAAAATTAAACACAAAACCTACTGGAACTGACTAGATTTTTATTGATCTGGATTCTCCAAGTAAAACATATTCCTAAAACTATACTGTATATAAAAGTTTTCAAAAGCAAAGAGCAAACAATGAGAGATTTGGTGACCATATGTATATGGTATGTGAATTAAGGGGGTCACAGTCATTTCCTAATGACTCCTGTTCTGGCAAAAATACCCAGGGAGAAGAGAGGCAGGTTGAGATATTCATATTGAGCCTGGTGTGAAGCCAGTCACTCCAGCTCATCCAGGTCACAGGTGCAAGTGGGAGACTGTAAAGTCAGTGAACTCATTGTACAAGAAAGTCCGGTTCACTACAAGTAAAAATAGCTTCCAAAAGATTGAAACAAAGTCATGGATGACAGATGTCTAATGGGTCATTAAAGGAACATGGGGTGTGTGAGTTTACATCCTTGATGTTTGATGCTGGCAACCAAATCAATCATTCTTTGCCACAACAACCCCTGGGGCCCACCCACCAGCCGGGGGACCCAGGGTGGAAGGGTCTTAACCCGGCACAGTTGTTTACCATGTCTTCTGTCTTCCCTGCACAAATTCCCTGAATAACCCCCTGGCCTCCCATCCCTGCAGCTGCATAGACACAGCCAGGGACTATTAGAGTCTGTATTTGATATTCATTTACTAGGACAGAAAAGATAAATTGAAAAATTTCACAGTCCAGAAATGAAAACAATAAATGAGGTTGGAGGAGGTAAGAGAGATAGATTTACATGAAAATATTACAGGAGAAAAAAAACCTCACAAATTTATTTAGGTACTTTGTAGTTATTAAGAAAGGCTGTAATAATGTTTTTTGGTTAAATTAAAAATGTACCCAAGGGCCTCTAGATACATTTTTCAGAATACCACAATTAGATTAAATTCATGGATTTGAAGATTCTCAGTAAATAACAGTCTGATTTCTTATTCTGGCATCTCAGCTACAGAGGGCAACACCAAGGAGATTCTCCACTAGAGAAATATAAACTATCTCTAGGTTTCAGTGCTGAAGGATGGAGGTGGTGATAATTCGTGAGATGGAAAAAGACCTGCTGTGGAAAATGAACAGGTGCTTCTCCAAGGATTTAAAAGCTGTTGTCAGCAACAGCCCTGCTCTTCAGAACAACTCCTCTTTTCCTTGCCTGCTGGGCAAGTGACACACGTATGGTGACATCGTGAGATGGGCACACGAGTCCATGCCTGTATGAGCACATCCCTTACTCCTACAATGTGTGCCTCACCTTAGCATGCCTGTCCATTAACCTCTAGTGCTTCCTGTTTCTCTTCTGTTTCTACAACTTCTGCCTTCTTATCCACCCAGATGGACTGTTTGAGGATTCTACATCTGTGTAAGGGGCAAATGGATAAGTTCC